TTTTTTCAAGATGTGAGTATGTACAGAGTTAAAAAGAGGAGGATTCAGTTGAAGAGAAGCTGAGTCGAGAGGTAGTGAATACTGAAAATACACAGTGCTTGAAAAGGTGAGGAGATAGAACCCAAAGCTCTGGTAGTGGGGAGGCCAGCCTTGCACAGGAGACACAACAGTCTCCATCTTGTAACACAATATCAGGAGCGAGACAGAACGTTAGGAGCTTCAGACATTCGCAGTGAGGAGTGGAGAAGTCAGGTATCAGATGGCTTTTCTTTTCTCTGGGGAGGAGGGGGAGGTATGCAGCCAGGATAGGACTAGGGAAAGTTCTTAACGTTGAGGGGGAAAGAGTTGTATGTGAGTGTTGAAGTAATCCTACACTGATGTGGGCGATCATAAAGCCCCCGTGAATTAACCCCGTGTGATCTCCTCTGTTCAGCATTTGCCAGCCCCGGGCTCAGGAGGAGGCAAAAAGAAGCCAGAGTGTTGGGGTCAGCCAGGGTTAGGATTGCTGAAGACAGCTCAGCATTTCTTAGACTGGCCTTTCTCAAAACATTCCCGTGACAGGTGTTACTAGGTATACTGAGGGGAAAAAAGCTTCCTTGGTCAAAGAAGTTTGGGAGAACCACTAAATGCTATTTTCCATTTTTAATATGCACATGGACATATTTGAAGTTCTGAGGGCCTTGCATTTGAAAACCTGGTTAAATTTAGTTTTGTCAACTTTTTCAAGCTTATTTGCTCTCGGAATGCTGTATGTGTGTGTGTGCGCGCGTGCTCACCTGGGCTCACGTATGCATCTGTTAAAATCTCCTGTTTGGTTTATCTCATCATTTCATCAGCTAATCAGGGGTTCACCTCACCCCTCCAGTGGGGGGCCTTTATCCCATTCGTCCAACATGTTTACATTATCTGTCATTAGCCATTTAAATCCATATTGATTTAGGGTGGAACAATAGCTTACTTTTCCTGAAACACACCTCATTCTTCATGAACAGCAGCGCTATGTGCCTGTTGCACTTGTTCTCCATTCTTGTCATAAACTTAAAAACAAACAGTATGTTCTTCAGGACTGTAAGATGCCATCTTGAAATGTGGCAAGGCAAAAACAGGGCCAGCAGCCATCCCAAATAGTTAAGATTAGTGCTGGCAGGGAGGGTGGCAGTGCGAGTTACCTGTATAATTATCATTATTCTAATAATAAGAAGCAACATTTTCATAGGTCCTTACAAGTTGCTCTCATGTGTGTTATTTTGCATAATCACATTTAATTACAGTTGAGCAAGGTACAAATCTTATTGGTGAGAGCAAGGAACATAGTTTAGGGGAGGTGACAAAAGACATGCTGAGGAAAATAGAGAGGAGCTGGGGAGGGAGCTAAGAGTCAGACAGTGGTCTGGGTCATGCATTCTCAGTGGAACCGCTGTTGCCACCAAGGGGGTAAAAGTGGTTTGTGGGGGGGACAACAAATGTAGGTATTACAATGATTTGTGGCCTTTTAGAGGGCCACAAAACTGTATAAAATATGCAATATATTTGTGGTACTAACATTTCATGGTAGAGGAACAAAAATGTCTACGGTAGGCTTTCTGGCGGGGGTGATAATGGAAAAAAGATTGGGGAGCCATGGTTTAAATCCTGTAGTGCCTTTGGAATTTTTGATGTTTGTGAATGATTCTTCTGTTCCCAGACATGTTAGCTCATTTGTCTAGCACAGTGTCTGCTTCTGGCTTCGTTTGTCCTTCGTTTGTCCTGCCCATCTTCCCCCAGGCCCTAAATGACCATGTTTTGCCCCCAGAAGCTCTTGTTTTCTGGCCACAGCTGACTGAATTAGGGTGGATATAAGCCAAGACCAGTTATGACCAGTGCATAACTGGTCCCAGAAAGCCTGGCTTTGCTCACTTCCTCTCATCAGACCCCTGTGATGCTGCTCTGTGTTTTTAAAACATCCGCTGCACTACTTACTCCCTTTGAGATGACTTGAGTGAGTGCCGGAAGAGCCCAGGACGCTTGGCCTAGCTAGGGGTGTACTGTTTGAGTAAGACTGGATGTGACTGAATGAGGAGAGAAGAGAAATCTGTTTGAATCACGGGCTCTTCATCTTGCTCATATTCAGTATCTGATGAGCACAGAGTAGGGTTTCTTAACAGCAGTGCTACTGACATTTTGGACCAGAGAATTTTGGTTGGGGGCGGGGTGGGGGCTTTCCTGTACATCGCAGAAGGGTTAGCAGCATCCCAGGCCACTCCCCGCTACATGCCAGTAACACGCACTCCACCAGTTTTGACAACCAAAAATGTCTCTAGCCATTGACCAGTGTCTCCTGGGGAACAAAATCACTTTGGGTTATGAACAATTGATATAGATAGTACAGACTATCAGAAAGCTATAAATCTGATCCTATCAGTGTGATCAGAAAGGCCAAAAAGGGCTTGTGATCCGCTATTGGACATTGCCTTGATGAGGATGTTACCAGAAATGATGGAAGATGGTCCCCGAGAGTGCTAAAACCAGCCTTGTTACCAAGATAGTCGCAGCTACCACTTAGTGAGTGCTAGCTTGTGCCAAATGCTTGCTACACGTGTTCTATTTATTAACTCATCAGCCCTCCCTGTAACTCCAGGAAGTCAGTGCCGCCATTATTCTGCCCACCCTACAGTTGAGGGAACTGAGACATGGAAGTGTTAGGGGACTTGCTGGAGGTCACCCAGCTGGTAATAGTAGCGTCACCCAGGCGGCATGGTTCTGGAGCCCATGTGCTCATGAGCATGTAATAACTCCTTTGGAGAAGGAGAAGCAAGCAGCTCTGCACTCCAGCATCCCGTAGAGATGCTTCCTAAGGAAGTTGCTAACATTAAGACAATTCAGGTGGAGGCTGGAATTTCAGAGGGAAAATCGGAAGAAGTTGAGTCTGTCACTGTCTGTCCTCCTCACTGGACTTCTTCACTCTTTTTGCACCATCACCTACTGCCCTGGCCTTATTTTCAATGTTGGGGAAACTTTTCTTGGTTTTGGAAGGTTCACAGAGGCAAAAATAATTTGTTTGGGAGATCCCAGCTAGGCTCTTGAGGTGTATCTAGAGTGGCTTAGGTTTATATATTAGAATAAATTCACTCCTTTAGAGCCACATATAAATGAACTTTGCTAGATCCAGCTGGCAAAGGTAGCTACCCACGCATCTCAGGTAGCGCCAGAGCCCAGGAGCTCCTCTGCAAAATCAAGCGTGAGCATTCCCATCTGCCACTGAGGGCACTTTATGAGGTGAGGACCACATCCAAAGTAGGAGTAGGCACAAAAGGGAAGAGGAAGGGGTGGTATCCTTCAAGTTTGGACAAAGTGAAATATTAAGCGAGCCCGGGCTCAAAGGTCCCTGGAGTTCCAGACAAATATAGACTGTCTTCCTATTCCTTCTACCCTGAGGACAGTGCTAGTGTCAGGGGTCAGCCGCATGGGTACCTGGCATGTGCTGAAAAGGCATCTGTCTCGGAGAAGGAAGGCAGACAGTGCTGCTTCCCGGTGGAGGGTGTGGTATTGCCAAGCTGGCCATGAAAGGATCACCAGGGTCGCTTGATCAATACAAAGAAGCCCAGCTCCCACCCTGGCGGACTCCAACTCCAGCTGGCTTGAGGTGGGGCATGGCGAAATGAATTTCTAACTGTAGATTCAGATGCATCACTAGACCCAGAGTGCTGCAAAGACTTCCTGTGCTGCAAAGACATTTGGAGAGGTGACCTGGAAGGGCTGCACAGTGCCAGCCGTACTAGACCTGAGGTCCTCTGGCCGAGGATCACATTAAAAGAACCCTTTGCGGGGCGCCTGGGTAGCTCAGTGTGTTAAAGCCTCTGCCTTCGGCTCAGGTCATGGTCTCAGGGTCCTGGGATCGAACCCTGCATCGGGCTCTCTGCTCGGCAGGGAGCCTGCTTTCCTCTCTCTCTCTCTGCCTGCCTCTCTGCCTACTTGTCATCTCAGTCTGTCAAACAAATAAATAAAAAAATCTAAAAAAAAAAAAAAAAGAACCCTTTGCCCAGACTCTAGGGTGATATATACAGTTATTATCACAACTCACACCTCACACAAGAAAGGGCTTAGTTGCTAGTTGCCTAATTTCTACAGATTCTTAAAAGCACAGTGTGATGGTCAGTATTGATCAGTTTAGACTCAGTCTAACATCTAACACCAAATATTGTCTTAGCAATTTGTTTATGTGTAGGTAATATCTAATAGCGAAAGTGTAAAACATCTGTAAAGATGCTTATGGTATCAGGTTAGGATCCTATAAGAATTAGTTAGCATTTACTACTAAGTAATTAGAAAGCACAACAGGGAGAACTCCTAACAGAATCCTGTTTGGAATTTTAGCATTAATGGATGGCAGCTTCACGAGTCAAACTCTTCCACGTGTTAGGCAAACCCTGAGGGGAAATGATGTCTACGTCAGGCCCAGTCACCCCCGTGAATTTAAGAGCTCGCTCTGCTGTGCAGGGATCTTATTTTGTATTTGCAGTAACGGATAGCTGTGATGGCCTGGCTCGCCGTAAGCTGCCAATACTGTTCTCTGTTCCCTTTTTAAATCCACCAGGAGTTCCGTGGGCTCAGAGTTCACATCCCTGTGGAATGTGCTGGTGGGCTCTTTGGCAGGAGACCCATTTCCCTGGTTTTCCTGTCTCTTCCCTTTCCCACTGGGTGAGATGGGGACAGAAAAGTTTATGGATCTACTCCGCTGATCTGTGTGGTGCCGAAGAGGACTCCAGGCCACCAGGTCTTTGAGGTATACATGGAGAGGAAGGCCAAAAAGAGAAGAAAGGCAGTACTCCTTGGTCAGGGGCGGGATATGCTGCTGAATCTCTTCTAGGCCTGAGTAGAGACACGAACATTTCTCAGCCTGAGCACAGCTCAAGCTCCCACGTACACCGACAGAGATGTCATTAAGGCTCAGAAGCTTTCAGTTAACTCGCCTGAGGCTGGTGCCCGCTGGGAACAGCACCTCTTCTGCCCTCTTGGTGGACTTACTTGGAGGGAGTCCATGCAGACAGAAGGTCCAGGGACAGGTTTTTCTGCTCTTGCTCCGATCTGACAAGGTGGTAGCCCAGCAAAGTCATGGTATCATTGCAGACTTTCTGAAGTCGAGAAACCTTCTTGTAAGGCAAGGTCCAGCGCCAGGCCTGGGAGGTGTTGAGGGCATTCCTGGCATTAGTGTGGAAGGCGTGACTACCCATGCCCTTGCCTCTAGTGATGTTGTACACCCAGGTCTGGAGGTGAGGCAAGAATTTCAGTCCCACATATTTATACATTTGGGCAGTCTGGCCAGTGGGGTCCCGGACCAGGTCCTCATAGCGTATGAGCATGTAGCGTTGCCTCAGGGCTTTGGGCAAGGACTGCACAGCCTTATAGATCTCCAGCTGGCTTTGGCAGATGACCTGCATCACAGAGTAAGGCTGATCCTCCTCCTTGAGTTTCTCCCAATGCTCCCCCAACACGGTGCGGCTGTCAAGCCTGAGTTCTCCAGTGGTGCGTTCTCGAGAACGGAACACCGCCCGGGGGTCCCGTACCAGGTGCACAATGTGCAGATTGAGGGAGGGGTCTCTCAGCAGTGGGTAGAGCACCTGCAGGTTGAAGAAGCGTACCTCCTTGAGCACCACGTGGCTGTAGGCGCGGCAGGCCTTCTCTACCACCTCAAAAGGCTGCTGACTGCACAGAAGCTTGCAGTGAGCCTGGGGGATGATCCTATCCCGGGAGAAGACGTTGCAGGCAGGCGGGGAGCACAGGGCCCTGCTGTTCTCCCACTGGAAGAGGCTGGACTGCCTTCGAGGACCGGGTTTCATGTAGGCATCAAAGACACTCATGTCACACAGAAAAACAGCACGGATCAGGTCCCTCACTGCCATCTGCAGCCTCCAGGCGGTGCTGTGTGTGAAGGTCATCCAGACGTGCCAGGCGGGCTCCATCAGGTAGAAGACGTCCGGGTGCTGTGCAAAAAGCTGTCCCACAAAAGAAGAGCCGGAGCGCCAGGAAGACAGGACCAGCACGTGCATGGGCTTGGGCTCTGCCTTGGTGGACAGGGAGTTGAAGTTGTGGCCATAGAGATGGAACAACAGGGCAAAGATGGCCACCTGGGAAATCAGAAACAGCAGTGGCCTCATTTTTTTGGGCGGTATCATCATGGCGAAGTGGAAGAACTTTAAGGAACAAGCAGAAGGGCTGTGTTAGGCTTCCGTTTTGGTGTCTGCCTTCCATCCCCTTTCTTGACAAAGCCATTTTTTTCCCCCTGACCCCCAGCAAGGAGCAACCTGCCGGAAACTTCTGGCAGCCAACTATGCAAATCCTTTGAATCAATTCCCATCCCTTGCAGTTAGTGTGTCATTAAGTTCTATTTATTTTAGGCTCTTTTTACTCCTTCCTCCTAGTCTTTCTTGTCCAGTGAGCTACCAAAAGTGCCTGAACGTAGCCATATTTCATCGACTTAGAGGAATAGCTCCACTCTGACACTTTGGTGACATGCATGCCGCCACACAGGCCATTTAGGCAAAGCTTAACCACAGTCTCACCAAATTTTGGCTGAATGCTCTGTGATTCCTTCTGAAACTAAGGGAGATAAGCTGACTTGGGAGGAACGACCTCAAGGCCACCGTTCACCTACCTCTCCTGTCTTGAGGGAGATTGCCATAGGCCATTTCTCATTACCTTCCTTCATCTCAACCAAGCACAGGCTTCAGTCCCCTGAAGGATATGGTTGCAGGCTGTAAAACTGTTTGGCTCGAGTTTGGAGTTGTCTCCTCAGTGGTAGAGCCAATTGCCCATGGCACCTGTCATCTGGTCCCCTCTGGTTTGGCATCATCCTGTGGGTTTAGGAGGAACTGGCCCAGTGCTGACCTGACATCTGTATAGCTCGGAAACTGTCTGAATCTATTTAGCTTGAATTGTTGTCTCCTTAACAGCTGACTCGGTGGCAGTGTGGCAAGCCAAGCTAAGAGCTACAGTTACCTGTGACCTGTTAGCCACTGTGCTGCGGCTTGGGGGAATGCTTAACTGCTTGACACAATCCAATCAGGGCATCTCAGTACAGATGGCCAGGTTATGTACTGCACAACCCTAGAGAATGCCATCTCCTCAAAATTTTAAGATATTTCTTATTAAAAAATGTTCTCGTAGGTGACAGTAAAGTATTTTGGTCCAACAGAATAAGAACATTAGGATGATTTTCCAGTTGTTAGATGTTAAACATCTAGAGATGGGCTCCTGGGTGCTCAGTTAAGCGGCCATCTCTTGATGGAGCCCCATGTTGGGTTCCATGCTCAGTAGGGAGTCTGCTTGGGATTCTCCCTCTCCCTGCTGCTTGTGCAGTCCTTCGAAATAAATCAATTAAATAAATAAATAAATAAATATATAAATACATAAATACATAAAATCTTTTAAAAATATCTAGGGAAATGAGTTCTACTTAATAATTCACACTAAGACTCATACAGACTGGTGGCAGCCCTCAACTTACTCCCTTTACAATCAAGGCTGAAAAGACCATGGTTCCCACTGCCATGCTAGAATGTTATTCTGAGGGGTTTTTTTAATGGTTTAAGGTTAATGGTTCTTTAAGGGTTAAGATGAATCTGGATCATTTTGGGTGACTTTGTAGCACAAACAACTACTGAGAGATAGAATAGAATAGCTGTTTCACACAGTGTAAAATATTAGTAGTAGCAAGGTGCTAGTTTTTTTTAAAAAACATCTTATTTTTGCATAATCTGCATACCCCATATGGGGCTCAAACTCACAATCCTGCAATCAAAAAGTCCCGTGCTCCGACGTCCATGACTGAGCCAGCCAGGCACCCACAGGGTGCTAATTATTATACACCCAAGATATTCTTCCTTCCAGCTTTAAAAAACAAAATACATTAGGGGGTGCCTGGGCAACTCAGTCGGTTAAGCATCTGCCTTGGGCTTAGTGAGCCTGCTTCTCCCTCTCCCTCCGCCTGCCACTCCCCCTGCTTGTGTTCTCTCTCTGTGTCGAATCAATAAATTCTTTTAAAAAAAATAAATAAAATAAGGCTTCCTACAATCCTGGATGCATGCAGGACCTAACGGGAGCACGTACCAGCCTGAGTCTCTAGCCTGTCACACTGCAAGTCTTTAACAGGTGTCGGCGGGGTGGGGGGGTGGAGTACTATGACAAGCAGTTATGTCTGTGGATGAAGATTATAGTTGTAAATTAGAAAACTTCTAGAGCTCTTTGTAAACAGGGTTAATGATATACCTTAATGACGGATCACGGTATTTTTCTGGGGGAAAGAACAGCTAAGAATTTTACCAGCTGTTGAATCAGTAACCTCCACTGTACTCACAGCTAGGATGAATCCGCTTGCTGATGTTTGGTCGTTACTGTACAGAGAAAGTCTACCCCAGTCCATGTCCCCCATCTGCCCGTTTCCCACCTTGCCCCCAGGTAGCAACTGGGTTTATTTTTTATGTGTCTTTTCATCTGCTTTCTACACACCCAAGAAAATTCAAATGTATGTGTAGTCTTAATTTTCCCCCTCTTTATAACAGAAAACATAGCAAGCTATACACACCTTGCTTTTTTTTAACTTTATAGTGTGTCTTGGCGAGCTCTCCATGGTAGCACATAAAGCACTTCCTCACTCCATTTTACCACCACATAGAGTTCTACCCTGCAGATACACCACAATTTATTTAGTTGCCTCATTGCTTGGCTTCTGGCTTATTTCCAGCTCTTTTGCGATTTCAGAAACGTCAGTAATGACCTGATGTTTATACATCATTACACGTTTATGTAAACTAAATCCCCAGAAGGAGAATTGCGGAGTCAAAAAATACACCTGCGTGTAGCTTTGCTATCTGTCACCCAGATGGTCTTCATACTCATCACAAACCATTCATTTTATCCAGAGCTGCAGAAATTCTAGGGTGTAGATTTTCAAGGAGGAATATATAAATATAAAAGCAAGTTTATAGGTTGCTTCCTGAAGAGATGCAGCATGCTTCCCTTGGAAGTCCCCTGAACCTTCTGGGAAGTATGTACTGACCCAAGCCAAACCTTGTGCCATAGAAACTCCTCCTGCATTCATTACAACAGTGTATTTCCTCCTTATTGCCAAAAGGATCCAGTGAGGGTCATCTCTCCTTCATGGCCAAGGTTACTTTGCTATATGCCAGGGAAATGTCAGTGAGTGGTAATTCCTTCCTTTGCCCTGAAGGTTAGAACAGGAGAAGCTAAGATATGCTCTTAGGTCTTTCAGACTCAAGCCCAAGAGGAAATGATTAAAAACTAGGACATTATTAATAACAGCCCAAGATTGGCCTCCTCTACCCCTACCTCCCAAAGACTTAGGAAATGCCTTTAGCAAGAGATCCTCTCCCAAAGATAATGTGAGTATCTGGAAAAATGTGGAACAAAGACAGGAAACAGCAGAGCAAAAGAGAGAGAAAAGTAAAGAAGAGAAAGCCTTGACCTGTGCACATTTATAAGGAAAGCATGGTAGAATTTTATATGCAGGGCCCTAACCTCCTCTATAGTCCTTGGAGTTGGTAAGCGTTTGTGAGAAGTGTGTGTCACGACTCCATTTCCGAGTCCCTGGTCCACCTTCCCAAGTGTTCTTTCCTGGCTGTTGCATTGCAAGCTTGAACCCCTCCCTCCCTGTTGTCAGAATCCCCACTGTGCTCATCTCTGGCCTGGCCTTTGACAGTAAGTAGCCTTTTTCTTCTGTCTCTCAAATTCTCCATCAACCACTGCTGCCCAAACCTGTCTTTTCTAAAGCACAAGTCTATCAGTCCCCTCCTTGACATCCTTCCGTAACTTTCCAGCACACACAGGATTAAATCAAAATCCCAAGACTTGTAGCCTGGGGCTTTCATGGTCTGGTCTTTGATCCCCTGTCAGTCCCCTGCTTTTCTGCACTTTAGGCACCAGACTTTACTTTCAGTTCTTTCCTGTTATTTAGAAGCCCTTCCTCCCAAGATTGAGTTCTCTAAACTTTCGAGGAGCATCCATCTCTCACTCTATAGTAAATAGCCATAGAAGAATTTATTTCTACCACTGGGCTGCTATAACTTAAGGGTAAATACTATGTCTTATCTTGTAAGGGATTAAGGCTCTTTAAATACTTGTTGACTAAATCAGTAGTTGAATAGGGGAAGAGGAATAATGGCTGGAAAGCAGATAACTGAATGAGATCCTTTGAGAAACGGAAACTTTTTAAAATGCACATGGGTGTCTCTGTAGTATCAGTTACTAAAATTTAGGTGATTCTGTTGAATATTGAGCACAGAACCAAAACTATCTCAAGTGTATGGAGCGAAATATTAAAGTTAAAGGCAGAGATTTGATGGTACGGCACAGTTAACCTCAAAAAAAAGAGGGGGGGCGTTCTACAGTGAGAAGGTATTAAGGAAAGCTACAAATAAAAAGCCATGAACACTACTTTTTTTAAAACTAATAAGAAAGAGAAGCAGGCCATCTGGGTGCTCAGTTGGTTGAGCATCTGACTCTTGATTTCGGCTCAGGTTGTGATCACAGGGTTATGAGATCCGCCCTGCTCAGCGGGTAGTCTGCTTCTCTCCCTCTCTCACCCTCTTCCTAAATAATTAAGTAATCTTAAAAAAGAACTAAATCTTAATAAAGAACAAAGAAAAGAAAAGAAATAAAAGTGTATTGCAAGGCACAAGACCACTCAGACTACTTCTCTTGTCTAAGTTAGGAAAAGAAAAAAACAAAACAAAACAGAGAAAACCCTCACCACATCCTGTCATCATTGCCCCCACCCCAGCCAATACTTTAAAAACAGGTTGTGCCAATGAGGGGTGAGTGCATATTCTTAAAAAACACTATCATCAACATGACCTCACCCGGGAGCCTAGATGACCCCCAAATGGGTACTGTGTAGTTCTTTTAGAAACAAAATGAGTGGGGGCGGGGGGCGCGCCTGGGTGACTCAGTTGTTTAAGCCTCTGCCTTCAGCTCAGGTCATGATCTCAGGGTCCTGGAATCCAGCCCTGCATTGGGCTCCCTGCTCAGCGGGGAGCCTTCTTCTCCCTCTCCCTCTGCCTGCCACTCTCCCTGCTTGTGTGTTCTCTCTCTCTGTCAAATCAAATCTTTAAAAAAAAAAAAAAAAAAACAAAAAAAGAGGGAGAGAAAGAAAGAAAGAAAGAAAATGAGGAATTCTGAGGGAAAAAATAACAGGCAATTTAAAGAGCCCTGGATTCCAGCCCCTGGCACATTCCTAACTTAGATCCCCCAGGGAGATTATGCTCCCATAACCCCAAGTTACAGATGGCAGAAGATATTTTCACAAACCGAGAATTCAGAGTTGGATTGAAGAAACCGAAATCCAGACATACACCTACAGACCCAGAAAAAGCACCTGGGTAAAGGTGACCCTGTGGTAACAAACGCTGACTAGACCGAAAGTGCCAGGAGGGTTGGACCTGGGCCGCCAGCACTGCTCCGTCTCCAGTGTGACAGAAACAGCGCCTGCAGCATTTACCGAATGATGACCAAGTAACATCATCTGTAGAGCAGTTTTTAGTGCTTGAGGTGCGCTCATTGATGTGGGCGAGGAAGGTAGGCAAGATAGTATTATTTTGCGCATATAAATGTATTTCACTTCCAATTAGAAGCCCTAGACTGGTCTGAGGCCCTACGGGACAAAAGTCTCTTCTGCTTCGGCTGATGTGCCTGCCTCATAACTTGATCTTTTACGTCTAAGTAGCACTCTCCGAAACTCTGAAAGCCCATTCAGCCACAACCATGACAGCTGATAATGACACGGATAATCCACACACTCGTTTTTCAGAATAAGTAAACTGAACCCTAACTGATAGACTCAGCGGTGGAAACAGCCCTACCTGAATCAGACCCCAGGTCTGTTGAGTGTCGGGGATGCGAGCATTCAATGATCACATCACACCCTGCCTGAGCTAGAGAAAACCTACAGCTCCCTCCACCTCCCGTCTGCCGTTCTCTAGCACCCGAGCAGAGAAGCTCCAGGAAGTATAGAAACTTGAACTCAGAAGCCGGGATCAGAGTAAGTTAGATGCACCAGGAGACCATCTACAGAACATCTATCAGGATAGCCCTACTGGCATTCTCTGCTTTTTCAGATCCTGTGAGAGATGGGGCTGGGTGGGGACGAGGGAGCTATTGGCAAGCAGCTTGTGCTTCTTCAGGAAGATTCTCCAGGTGACTCTGATTTAGCCGTCCTCCACAACCCCCCTTCTCCATTGCCTTTAAAATCCTTAGGTCAGCTGCGGGAGGTTTTCTAATACTCCGTCCCAGGAGCCCTGGGACAATGGCCCCCCTGCGGAGTGGCGTATAAAGAAAACTCTCTTCTTACCTTGATAATAGCTTAGGCTTCTCCACTGCTTTAGAGAGGCTCACTGCTAGCCAAGTTGTGCTTTTCTCCTCTGACTCACCAGCTCCCCTATCGGCTTCCTCTTCCTCCTTGCATTTTGCGTAACCATCCCTACTCAGAACAAATTCCACTGCCCTCTCCCTTCTGCCAGAAGAGTGACCCACCTTCCAAGACGGTGTTGAGAAAGCGCTCACTCCCGAGTAGCCTTGGTATTAGCCGCTTTAACACAGAGAGACGCTGGGAGAGTCTGTTCGCGGTAAACGGGGAGAAGCAAAGGAGGAAGCGTCCTCTCCCACGACGGGAGCTGATGCTGGAAGGCAGGCTCGGTGAAGGCAGCTGAAAAGGTTAACTCCCGAAGGCCAGGGTAGTAAAAGAAAAAGGAGACCTGGGAGATGAAGTCGATAGGGAAATCAGAGACAATTACAAACCAAATACCCACAGGATCTTAAGCTTTGTTCTTCCCTTAATCTTATCTCTGTTGCAAAAAAGAGGAGAAAAGCTGAACGCTATTTCTGGATTGTACCTGCCTGCTCACTCCACTGGATTTAGGGAGATAACGTTTTGTTTTTTTTGTTTTTGTTTTTTTTTTTGGCCTCTGTGTCATGTGCAACATCTTCGACCCTTCTGACAGGAGATTTTAACTAGATAATTAGCTAGATGAAATAACTAAATGTATGGGAGGGCAAAAATCTATTGGCATTTAGTGCAAGAAACATAATTACCTCCACAAGAAAAAAAGAAACAAGTTATTAAAACTTGTAGCTTCTTACTAGCTGCGTGGCCTTTGGCATATCACACAACTGTTCTGAGCTACTTCACATGATCGTTGTGAGTGTAAACAACAGAGGAGAATCCTCAAGTAAGTGTAAATTGCAGCCCAGTGTAAAAGCCACTGACTTTGCATTCAGACATCTGGGCAAGCAAGTCCTTCCCACCTCTCCTAGCCCTGGAATATCACTGTAAAATATAGATCTACTTTATAAAATTCTTGTGAATGTTAGGGCAGGTTTAATGCATGTCATACCCCTAATACAATATTATGACAATAATGAATTAAAAAGTGGTAGTTAAGGGACGCCTGGGAGGCGCAGTCGGTTAGACATTTCAGCTCTTGGTTTCAGCTCAGGTCTGACCTCAGGGTCAGATGCGTCCCAAGTCCAGCTCCCCGTCCGGTTTCTCTTACCCTCTTCCTCTGCTCCTCCCCGCTGCGCTATCACTGAAATAAAAAAATAAATGTTGAGAACAAGTGGTAGTTAATCATAGTACCTCTTTCTTCTTGCTCACTCGCTGGCCCATTTTCTAGGTTTGAAAGAGAGCCGGCAGAGTTATAGGAGTCCTAGGATAATCTGTAAAGTGTCTTTCCTGGTTTCCCTCAGCTGAGCCTCCTAAGGCTTCAACGCTGGCACAAATGACCAGAACTATAGTGGTGGGATTTCAACTGTGTGGCCCTCCCACTCTCCCAGTCTCTCCCCAGCAGGGAGAAGAGACAGATTTTTCTTCCTCAAACTGACTCCATGCTGTACATTGAAGAGCCAGAACCGAGCAGTTGGTGGTTCTGCTTTAATTCTTTTTATAAAAGTGAATACTTGTTCCTTATTTAAAAATTTGGAAACTACAAAATGTGTAAGGAAGACAATATAAATCCCTTTAGATTTTGCTCCCCAGAGAAAACCATTCTTGATCTTTTTTCCCAGACATGCAGAAATCTGTATTATTGAGAACACCCTGGAAAAGAAAGATTTATACTTGTTTTCCGTTTGTCTTTATTTTAAAACATCTAGAATTACAAAATTAGAATAAGGGCAGGAAGGTATAATGTAACAAGTAACTTAAAGGAACTGCCTCTTTAAAAAAGAAACCAGGACATTCATTATCAGAGCTGTTTCACCGTATCCCTCCCCTCCCACAACCTCCTCCCACCCTTGTTACTCAGAGGTGATCACTGTCATGGTAAGTGGTTCATTGCTTTTCCTTATGCTTTGTCATCTTTTTTTTTTTTTTTAATTTTTTTTTTTATTTTTGGGGGTGCCTGGGTGGCTCAGTGTGTTAAGCCTCTGCCTTCAGCTCAGGTCATGATCTCAGGGTCGTGGGATCGAGGCCCGCATCAGGCTCTCTGCTTGGCAGGGAGCCTGCTTTCCCCCCTCTCTCTCTGTCTGCCTCTCTGCCTACTTGTGATCTCTAAATGTCAAATAAATAAATAAAATCTTTAAAATTTTTTTTTATTATTTTTAAGTAATCTCTGCATCCACCGTGGGGCTCAAATTTACAACCCCTAGATCAAGAGTTGCACGCTCCACCAACTGAGCCAGCTAGGAGCCCTCTACTCTACAGTCTGTCGTCTTAATCAAGACAGTTAAAATTTCCCCAATTTGAGCTTTATGTAAGTAGAATCATAGCACATGTGCTTTTTTGAGTTTTGCTTTTTTTGGTTTCATATTATCCTTGTAAAACTCATCATGATGCTGCATATAGTTATAGGGGCTTTTTAATTTGTTCTGGTTATCCTTGAAACATATCGTGAATATACCACAATTTGTCCACAATCTTATTAACTGACATCTGAAGTGTTTGTAGTTTGGAGCTGTGGTTGAATATTCTTGACCTGTCTCCGGGCACATATTTACACAAGTGTCTCTAGGGGATGCTGAGACATGGGGGGTGTTTGGCTTTGATTTTTTCACCTCATACTATGTAATAAGCGTTTACCCACGTTAACAAATATTTATGGAAAACATTACTTCGAAAGGATTTGTCGTATGCCAACATTCTAGTGCTTGCTCGTCAGACACTGAGATTGTTCCCAGTTTCCCTGTGACATAGAACACTGTGGTAAATATGGTGACCTTAATGATTAATGAAACACTTAGCATAATTCTCAGTACGAGTAGCTGCCCCGCCTCTTTCCTTACAGGTAATACCACAGATCTTAGCCTCTTTATTTTGTGACTCATAGATTAGTTCAGAAGAACTTTCAGAAAGTTTGGGCTGAAAACAGTCATAAGGAAATAGGTATTCACAGTAGTAAAAAAACCCAGGGTATCCCAAACAGAGGGCATTCCCAGGAAGGAATTAGGAGGCACAAAGACTATAAAAGAAGAGAATGACAGGATAGCTCCTGCTTGGTCGGATCTGGGGACAAGCCAAGCACTGTACTGCGTGCTTATTGGGGTCATTGCATTGTCCTCTTTGCTGTTGCCTTAGGAGGTAATTTCCTTATTTTCCAGATGATAGAATAGAGGCTTGTAGAAGCTAAACAATATATCCACAATTATATGGCTTATAGTGGAAAATTATGGACCCAACCTCCACTCATCGCAGTGCTGCCTCTCTCTGTGATCATGGACAGGACTAGTGAGTCTGTTCCCTTTTGCTGTCCTCCTAAGAGTAGTTAATGTTTCATTCAGGGCAGAACTCTTTCTACAGTTATAGGAATAGAAATTTAACATTCATAAAGAAGAAAGAACTCTCCCAGTTCCCTGGATCACCATGGAATCCTCAGGCCTTGCAGACCTCATGGGGGATTCTACTAGCCTCATGTAAAAAGAAAAAAAGAGAGAAACTGGGTCTTTGTCAGTCATTGATGAACACCGGTAATTTAACCCAGTCCTTTCTACATTCCTTCCATGTTTTTCTGAAGCCTTCCCAAATACAGTGATCACTCAGATATACCAAAATCCCTAAATAATTCATGTCACCTACCATCTTTTCCTTGAGAGGAATTTGTGCTGGTAGAGTGCCCAGCAGCTAAAGAAAAGCCTCCTTTGGTCACTAGCCTCCGGTTGGCAGTCGGCACATTCAGATACGCGGCTTCCAAGACTCTCTAGTATTCCACAGCAGGAAGAAATTTGAACGCCAGTGTTTGACATCAAGGCCTTCTTGTGGAACAGTCACAGGGAAAACACCATTCTTTTAAGTCCGCACCATCCACAGCACTTTTCTGTGATGAAAAGCTCTTACATATCTGCATTGTCTAATACAACAGCCACTAAGACATGAGGCTGTCGGACACTTGAAATGTAGCTAATGTACCAGATTAGAGAGCTGGGTTAAGGTTGTGTAGATCCAGTCTCTTTTTGAGTCTCAGGAAATTTGATGGAAGATAAAGACCATCTCTCTCTGAAAATGTACACTTGATCATCATACAAATGCAAAATCATATCCAGTTGCAAGGGGTCCCTACTGAAGAATCCTGACAAAGGGCTGTATGTACTTTAAGTACTTCTCAAAGCATGATTTCAAGAGGGTTGACTCTCAGGGACCACTGTTCAGCAGAGCTTTGTGCTCCATCCCTCCCCCTTGGGCTTTTGCCATCTTTCGAGTCTGGAGACCATCCCTCATGGTAAGGAGTCAGCCACTGGGCCAGAGTCTGATTTTCTCAGGGGTCAAAAGGAATCTTTCTGCTGGTTATATACTCACTCCTACCTTTACAGAGACCATTGCTTCCTGTGTACAAGGAGTGGCGTTTCTTCATTGCTACACTTGGCTACATGTCTTTCCTGATCACTGACGTTAAAAGAACAGTTGGGGGTACCTGAGTGACTCAGTCGGTTAAATGTCCCACTCTTGATTTCAGCTCAGGTCTTGATCTCAGGGTTGTGACATCGAGCTCCGTGTCAGGCACTGTGCTGGGCATGGGATCTGCTTAAGATTCTCTTTCTTGGGGCACCTGGGTGTCTCTGTCATTAAGCGTCTACCTTAGGCTCAGGTGGTGCTCCCAGGGTTCTGGGAGCGGGTCCAGGATCTCGGCGGGAAGCCTGCTTCTCCCTCTCACACTTCCTTGCTTGTGTTGCCTCTCTGGCTATCTCTGTCTCTGTCAAATAAATAAATAAATTCTTAAAAAAAAAAAAAGATTCTCTTTCTCCCTCTCACTCTCCCCTTCCCCACCCTCTTAAAAAAAAAAAAAAGTCAGGCTTTTCTTGAGATCCTTTTCACATGGGGGCTCCAGAATTATCTTTAGTCAATATGAAACAGCCTGCAGTGTGAATGTCAAGACTTGAAACCTGAGTGACATTACCCTCTCTACATTGGTCACCAGCCCTGTGT